TATGCTTGATGGAAGAATAGGATCCGTAGAGTGATGATGACTGAGCAAAACTCACTGCTCTGTTTAAATAAGATAGTGAGCTAATTGTCACTAGTACAGAGCAAGAAGTGTAAATATTTTTTACCCAACACTTACATATTTAAGACATTTTACAAACTTCTCATATAAAACTGCTTTAGATCTATTCTGCATCACACCTCCTGGCACATTTCCGAGCAAAAAATTTTCATCTGCCCCCAAAACTTAGACAGCAAGGTGCTGCTGGATTGGCTGCTGCTTGACAAATGTATGCCGCTGTTATTGGAGGATACTTGTTGCCCAGCATGGCGGCAGCAGAGCACCCTGAGAACTTTGCCCCTGAAGTCATCAGACACATAGTTGTAGATGAAGGGATCAATGCAGGGACCAAAGCAGCTGAAGGCCAGGCTGACTACATAGGACACACTGAGGTTGTCCGTATTGTCTGCGCACTGCAGAAGCAGGAGGATGTTGCTGGGGAGGAAACATGCAAGGAAGACCAGCAAGACCAGGGCGGTGAGGCACGCAGCGTGGGAGTAGCGGTGCCCTCTGGCCAGAAGGGTCTTCAGCACGGCGCCATGGCAGAAGAGAATTACCAGCAGAGGGAGCAAGAAGCAGAGACTGAAAAGGCTGGCATAGTAGGGGAAAAAGAAAGTGGCCATCAAAGCAGTGGGCTGCGCGTCATGACAGGTGTTGATGGGAGGGTCGCTCAGCTGGTAGGACTGGCGAAAGAGTAACAGGGGTAGCATAGCCAACAGGACCACCACCCAAACGGACACACTCATGGCCAGGGAGGTGCGATGGCTGCGCAGGGTCAGAGCACCAAAGGGGTGCACCAGAGCTATATACCGGTCTATGCTGATTAATGCCAGGGTGAGTACCGAACCATACATGCTACCATAGAGCAGAGCTATGACCAGCCGGCACAGTGGCTCGCCGAAGAACCAGTTCAAACCAGCAAAGTAGTAGATGATGCGGAAGGGCAACATCAGAAGGAGGAGCACATCCAGCACTGTCAGGTTGATGAGGAGGATGGTGGATGGGGCCTTCTGTGTATGGAAGATCAGCACCCACAGGGCCAGGATGTTCGCTGGGAGCCCGACAAGGAATGCGACCGAATAAAGGACGGGCACCACAATCACAATGGTGGGGCTCTGGATCTCCAGCTTGTCTTCTTCTGACACCAGGATGACAATGCTGTTCATGTGGTTGTCCAGTACCTCCGTTATCAAAAATTCATATACTATGAGACAGGAACAGAGGAGTGCAATGAGTATCACCTTCCTACTACTTTACTTTGGTCTGGGTCCCAGACATCATAGGGCACAAGACAGGGGTACACCCTGGACAGGTCACAGAGCTCCTGCATGCACACTACACGAGGAGAACCTGTAAGCTCCCCAAACAATAAGCAGAGGCAGAGTCAAGCCCCCAAACCTGGAAGTCTGAGTGTTATTCACTAAACCAGTGCCTTTTAGTGATGAGCAAAATGACGCTTTTTTGAGACACAGTTCATTTTATTTAGTTCACTTAAAAGATTAGTTCTGATCACCAACTTGTTCAGTGGCACTACCTCTTTGTATAAAATAAATCTGAAACATTTTTGTTCCGGTGTGTCAAAAAATAGCCCATTATTTAGGCTAAATAGTGTTAAGGAGTAAGCTAAATACCACTAAGTCATGTATTTTTCACTGAATTATAGTGTAAGTCTCTCAACACTGTACCTTAGCTACTCATATTTGTTAAACATGCACACCTAACAGCTCATCACTTGGTCAGTTCAAACACTAATAATTTGTGGTTAAAATAATTTAAATCATGAAAATGATGCATCGCTAAAATCCAGTCCCCTATATGCACACTCTCTTCCACATTCCGAGTCCGCCAGCTATTTCACTTACGGCACTTAGTACCATGAAGCAAGCAAGAATAAGCAAGACTAATGAACCAGAAGTATTTCCGCTGTCATGGTTATAACAAAGTAATAAACATCTGTGCTCTGAGATATCAATGTGACTTGTGGCTTCGTGAGATTACACCAAGATTTTGCTACATTTCTCACAGCGAAAACAAATTCCTTTCAGCCTCGTTTCCATGACAGCAGTTATAGCTGAAAACTGGCCATATTGCGATTCTCTGAAGCATCATGGAGTGGTCATGCGCTGATGGTTAAAGGAGTGTACGTTCCAAATTCCAGTTGACCAACAGATGTGTAAAGTGTACACCCCCTTCGAAAGTCCGCCCACCCATTAAAAAGTTCCAAAAGTCAGAAGCAAAAAAAAAAAACATTCCAGAAGCAAAGCAGAGAAGAAAAACAAAAAGCATGTAATTCTATTTATATATATTTGCAATGTATATATTGATTCTGATACTTTTTTCAAAATTTAGTTTAATACTTTTGGCACAAAATTAACTCCATAGTGAAGCATCTTCTTTACTATATAAAACTGCAGCAAAAATACCTGAAGCCAGTTACACAAAACACCTTACGTTTTCTCCTTAAGCATGACACTAATGCTCTGCATGCTAATTTCTCTTTAGCTGAGGGATTTATTTAAGGGTGCAGCACAGAATCCCTTAAAAGGATAAACCTAAGGGATTGACCGCATTGAAAGAGATTTTACAGCAGTTAAATTGTACAGTTTCCATTGAGACAGTTTGTTTGCTTGCACTCACACCTGTTTGTGATACCTGTTAGTGCCTCCACTGTTAATTTTGTTGACAAAAATATGGCCCGACAAAGGGTTTTTGCCTGACGATAACTAAAACAAAAACGTGACTATAATATGCGTTAATAACAATGATGAAATTAAACATACTATTAGTCTGTCAAAAATAAATTTAAATTTTTTTTATAAAGGCCAGATTTCGTCACCACTGCATCCCTATCTGATAAAAATGGAGACTTTCCCTTGGCGTATTGCGTACAAAACAAATAGGTACTTTCCGCTTGAAGAACAACTACTAAGTGGGGCATATGGCAATAAGCTTTGCACGGGGGCTAACTTAGGAGTTAAGTTGGCATTCATGTCATATTTTTAAGGACAAGCGGAACAACAAAAAGAACAAATCTTTGAACGCGAGTGTGTAATTCCTGTACGGGACTCATTCCGTGCGAATGATTGGTTTGTGAACATCACACCATTAATGTTTTTATTGTTCTACACATTTAAATAAATGACAGCAGTGGGGTGGGTGTTTCCCTCCCCTTTACTTCCCTTTTGAGCATTCTTGTAGCTCTTATTTGCATATCAAATTTACTCCAGTGTAGATTAAAACACCGGTGATCGTCATTAAGGTGCATCTTTCCTGCTTCATGCCCTCTGATGCTGCTGATGTTTGTTGGTCTTCAGCTTGCTGCTGGTTTCCCTGACTGTTCCTGCTTATTTAGGCTTATTTGCTGCTGATCCCCAGTCAAGGGGCTGTTTGCTGTGTGGATGCCCAGGCCAGTGCATGACCAGTGCTGCTGGACCATATTGGACACGCTGCTGATTTTTCCATTTTTATTGTTTCTGATATATTTTGTTGTCCCTCAACAGTCACCCATTTTGGGCTGCCGTATCTTAGCGAAGGCAGCTCAGGCTCAGAGGACGCAACTCACCAGGTGCAGGGGTTGTCGAAAAGGCTGGTTGGGGAGTCCAGGGCAGGTTGGTTGGACCTCCTGAAATCCAAGAGAGTGCCAGTTAGTCCTTTATAGGTTAACCAATAGTTTAATAGCTTGTTTGCTATGGGTGCTGATGTGGAGGCCCGATTTTGTGAATACCCGGGGGGGAATGTGTCAATATATAACTGTACTGGGGATGTTGGCAAACTACTTAATTTCTTCAGCACCATAACAAGCAAACACACTTCAAAAATGTACAAGAACTCTCTAGGGAAAATGGAAAGTAAAGGACAATCCAACTTATTACCTGTCGTGGCCAGTTCCGAATCCTCAACCCCTTCCCCTGAACCCTTGTTCATCAGTGGGAAGGGGAGGCTGGTCAGGTTGCTCTGATCTGAAATCCAGCAGAGTGCCAGCAGCAGCTGCAGGGCTCGAGTGGCGGGAGGCCGGGCCATGGAATCGGGAACCTCTCTTTGTAGTGTTCTGTTACGTTTGGGTTCTGTATGCATCTGCTCCAAGAGGACAGGATGTGAGACAGTCTAGCCTCCCCTCTATACAGAGCTTTTGGGCTTTCCTCTTTCCAGGAACCCCCTCCTTTCCAGTTTCTAATACAATCATATACACACACTTAGGTACTTTGGCAAAAAAAAAAGTCACAGACTTTCATATCTTGTTGAACCACCTTTAACTTTGTTTATGCTGCAAATTTGTCATGGCATTGTTTCCACGTGCTTATGCAACATCACAACATTTTTTTAATCCAAATTTGCATTCATTTCTTGCTGAGAACCTGTATTGATGACAGGTGACTTGAACCACTCCATAAAGTCTTCAGCACATCTGAAAGACTTTCAATGGGGTGAAAGTCAAGACTCTGCGGTAGCTAATTCATGGGTGAAAACATCGGGTGTTACATCCCGTTCAGCCCATGGCTGCAATGCATGTTTTGTTCCTTATCTGTCCATGTCTTGTTCTATTCTAGGTCTGGCTCCATATGCTAATTGGTGGGATGTCCCCGATCGACTGCATAAACAGGGCCTGGTCTGTGTACCAGGGGGAGAAGGAGCTGTTGTGTTTTGTTGTATTTTGTTTTGTTGGTTGAAGGTTCTGTTTGGTAAAACCATAATGTTTAAATAAACCCCTAGACGTCTTGAACTTGGCTGCTACCTCTCCTGCACTTTGTCGCTATTTTGAGCCAATGGTGACACTCATGCTCCCTAAACCACACTTTCAATTCAAGACTGATGAATCCTGGAATTATCATCCTGGAATGCCCACATCATTTGGAAAGCAAAATTGATGAGAACCTGGCCATTCAGCAGATTCAGGTTCTTAGCTGACTTCACTTCATTGCCGCATAATGTTGTTGAGCTGTAATAATGATCAAATCATTTACTTTTAACTGCTTGCTGATTTAAATTGCTTTGACTTTTTTGGCCAGGCAGTGTGGATATATAGGGACACAATGATCTCTCTCTTACTCATACACACCTCCAGAGTTTTACTAATAGAATAAGCAGTTCATTTTGTATACTGGGAAAGGAACTTAAATGTATTCAGAAGAAAAAGGTGTATTCGTATTTTGTCTGAATATGTATTTGATGCAGACACATTTCATTATGGATTTTGTGTAATATGTTAGATGTAAAAAGACATTGAACTTTAAGTAAACACTGAACATAGAAAATGATTCTGAAGGGAAAAATGCACCTGTTTCAATAAATAACTGCAGAGAACTCCAAAGCATCGACACGCTGTTGTCCTGCCTCCTCATTATTCTCCCGTTTTTCAGGAACTCATCTGTTAACTCGGTGCCGCTGGGCGGTACCCGTTACAGATTTTTGGGGGCCCGTACAGGGAGCGGCAACAGATGCGCTGGCTTCAAGCACAACCAGAGCCAAAAGATTGAAGTGTCCAGGGAGCTGACGCCTCTTCAACCCAAGCAGTGAAGGGAGATAGGAAGAGATACCTGGAAGAGAGACCAGTTGTGAGGAAGAGGGAAAAGCAGTCATGGCCGACAGTGAGAGGAAAAGCTTGGTTTGGAACATCAAGAAGAGCCTGCTCACTCTGAAAGCCAAAGAACTTTACCAGCTAGCCAAAAGTGTTGGTCTTGTGCCAGGGAAGGATGCATCCATGCTTCAGGTTGGTGATGAAGAGGGTTGCTTTGAGCACATTCTGGCTTTTATGAACAATGTGACTTTGGTAGAATCTGAAGACTCAGGTATGGCCGTGTTGTTAGAGCTTAATGATACTGTGAATGAGGTCATTGAGTCATCATGCTCAGCTGAAAACAGGTACTGTACAGAGGAAGATGTACATTATGTATTATTAAACCCACTACTGAATGATAGTGTGACAGTAGGTCAGTCACATGCTGTTGTTAATGACAACCAGTGCTCATAGCGCTAACACAACTCACACAGCTACAGTAAGACTAACTACCCCTTTACCAGTCACCCATCCCACGCATACAAATACTGATGTCAAAACCACACAGAGCTACAAGGAATGCTTTCTAGCTATGCTGAGCTTAGTAATAAAGTCCTACAGTGCATAAATAACCCCACATCACCCCTTACATTTACACCTTCAACACATTCTACCCCACAATCGAACAGCACTCATACATCTGAACAACACACACAGAACACCTGACTGAGTCGTCCCCCTTCAGGACCTTTCACTGCTTCGTCGAGAGTTCAAGATTCAAGGAGGACAAATCGGTCACCAAAGCTCAGACATAAGCTACAACAGCATATGCAGACAAATCAAGGCCGGCCTTAAAGAGCAATTCAGTGAGACTGAAGTCCTGAGAGGTGTTCTCAAAGTCATTAAATCAGGAAACTTCAAAGACATGCTAGTACACAAGGATGATTTAACCATAGATGAGCTTAAAGGCTTTTTACAGTCCCATTTAGGGGGACGAAGTAACACGGAACTATTCCAAGAGCTCATGTGCACAAAACAGAGTGACAATGAAACACCACAACAGTTCTTGTACCGAGTCATAGGCCTCAAACAAAAGATCTTATTTGCTTCTAAATATGCTGGCACTGAATTGAAATACCATGTGACCACAGTCCAAGACATTTTCCTCCACACAGTATACCAGGGCCTCGGCCATAAGCATGATGACATACGTCGAGAACTTAAACCACTGCTTTCAGACAGCAATGTGTCTGATGAGACAATCCTAAAACAAATGATGAGGATAACAAACACTGAGAATGAAAGACAAAGACGCCTAGGGACAGTTGTGTGGCAGAGACCTGTAAATGTGCAGAGAGCGCAGCTTGAAGTTGCAGCAGCGCAAAGCAATAGTACAAAGAAACATGGTTCGGATGAAGAGCCCAAAGCTGAAGTGCTCCAACAGTTAACAGAGAGTGGAGGAGTTAATGAAGAAAGTTGAACTGTGGCAGCCACTGCAGACCCAACAGCCAGGGTCTTGACATAACTGCCCAGTTAAAGTAGACCAAAAGAAAGCCAAATCTTACAGCTGTGCTAAATGCCTTGAACTAAACTGCCCAGGTTGCACTCATTGCTTTTACTGTGCTGAAGAGGGCCACAGGGCAGTGGGTTGCCTGAAGAAACCCAAGCGTCAGGAAAACGTGGGCCAGTTTCTGCTGCGGGACAGGCAGTGACCGGGCTTCACCTTCAGTCCCAATTGGGCCCACCTCACACTACTGAGTGCGACACAGAGGGCTCAGACACCAATAAGACTAAGCCAGCTATAATGAAACAAAGGCAAAAAGACCACAATGAGCAAGTATTTCCCCAATCCCCTCTTCTCAAACCCAGTCAAATGAGTAGGTGCCTGGCCAAGTTTATAGGTGCCAAGGCTTTTGCACGATGTAACCTCAGTGGGTTGACAGTCAATGCACTGCTAGATACCGGAGCTCAAGTGAGTATGATTCACAGAGGCTGGAAGGAGAGGTACCTACCAGACGCCCCGGTGAGGCCTCTCAGTGAAATATGTGATGATAAGGAAGAGCTGGAGGTCCACGCTGTAAATGGAGACATTCTTCCTTTTGATGGCTGGGTCCTGATCACAGTCACCTTGAGCGGTAATGGCAGCTTAAGCAAGCCCATCACAGTGCCTTTCCTTGTCTGCAGTGTTCCGCTTTATCAGCCACTACTTGGGTTTAATATGCTAGAGGAAGTGGTTCAGAGTCGGCCAGCAGAACTTGTCCCAGCCCTTACCATGCTTCTCTCTGATGCAATGTCAATGCCCTCTGAGAAGCCTGAGCTGTTAGTGAGCTTCATTCATGCTGGCAAATCCTCCATACATCAGGGACGTCACATATGCTAGGTGGGAAGAATCTTTAAATAGTGTGACTAGACACTCCATGCCAGGGAGATACAACTGGATTTGTAAACCACCATTCCAATCAAGAGGACATGGATTTCATTTAAGTACAGAGTTTTTGCTTTGGGGTGATTGTCTCCTATAATAATGCATGTGTCAGTAATGTTAATGTGAAACAGCTGAATGAGTCTTTGAATCAAGGAAACAAAAAAGTGAAAGCACAAGATGAACTGAACTATTTAGCAAAGCACAAGAGCCTTTCAGTTTTAAAGTAGCAAGTAATTTATAAAACATGGAAATACCTCGAAGTATTCTCCCTGACAGGGATTATCTGGTCACCTTAATTTAAAAGACTCACCAACTACACTACTTTGGGAATTGCACCAAAAGAAATATGACTAATTATCGCCACATGGAGAACACAAAGGTCCATTAATACTGGAAAGTCCAGGCATGGGTACTCAATGCTGAGCACAAGTGCTCAATGCCCCGCCCCGCATGCCTTCTTCCCCCGTGTTCCCCGTGGTGTGGTGCTAAAGAGCCACACCTGTTCCTCATTTAACCCTGCCTCTCATTTCCGCCCTCATGTGGATGATCCCAGGTGCCTCTCGTCTGCTCCTTATCTGTGGTGTATATAGTGCCTCCTTATCCTGAGCTCCCCAGTCTGGTCATTGTATTGTTGTGTAAGATTCTGCTGCCTGCCTGAGTGACCCCTTTAGTTACCCTGTGCCATGTTTCCCCCCTGCTCTCCCAGCCTTGTTTTGACCTTGTCTGGTTTCTTTGCCCTTTTGTATAGCATTTTGTTGAATAAAACCCCTTCTGTTTTCCCTGATGCTTGCCTTTGCTTCCATCCTTCCTAGCACGTGACACTCAAAGGTATAACTAAAACACAAGTAAGAAGAACAGGGCTTAGAGCTTACCCTGGAGAGATAGTATGGCTGGGTGATATATAAACGATATATATGTATATTTATCGTTATATTTGAACAATAAGAAAATGAGAAACTATCAATCAACATTGCTTGATCATCATCACATCACAGAAACAAATGCAATTCCATCTAATCATAGGGTAGATCTTTAAAAATTAAGATATGCCCTACAAATGTACAGCAAGGTCGGTCGAGATAAAGGAGCACAGCATGTGGTATTGATTTGGTAATACACGTGAACACTGAACATTTTTAGAGTCACAAACTTCGCTCCACTTTTTAACCTCATGCACCCAGATCTTCAGAGAAAAATATCAATGAAGCAGGAAACAGAGTAAATCCATTGTAGGTGACAGTGCACATGACAGCAGCCAGCCAATCAGTGTATTCCAGGTCCAACATCAAGTCAATATACCATCAGACAGTGTGGTCCCAGAACCGATTGGACAGGTTCAAGGGCAACTGTTGGGAATAGTCCAAGAAGAAAGGGCCATTTCAACCCCTTTGCCATTTGTGTGCAGTGCAAAAAAAACACAAAAAGAAAGCCTTCTTATTTGAACATTTTTGAATTGCAAATGTATCATCAGGATGCCAAGTGATGGGCCCTTATGATAAAAATTCAAAACAAAACCAAACAAGTTCAGCATGGCACGAAACTTCAGGAACAGCTGTGGTAAAAACAAAAGTAAACTAACAAACACAAAATCAGTACAATACTGATAAAAACAAAGCTGCAAAAAAAGGTGGAAAAAAGCAGCAAAGAAATACCACACAAAACCACAGCGTATCTAATTCGGCCCAGTGTCTACTGGTAAATACATGGTAAATAACCACTAGTTGACACAAAGACTTGTTGGGGGTTGGAGAATTAAAGATATATGAATACAGCTCCGGAAAAAAATCACAGCAATATGTTTAGTTTCACTAATTTCTCAATTTATGGGTATGGTTTACAAAAAAATATATATAATACATGTTATTCTAAATTCCAGCCTGGCTCTTCTCTGTTTCTCCTCAATGAAGGGCTTCTTCCTTGCTTTATAGGAATTCAGTCCTGCTTCTAGGATCCTGATACGCACTGTCCTAGTAGTGCACTTCACACCTGCACTTAATGTTTCCCATTCCCTTCGAAGGTCACTTGATGTCATCCTCCAATTCATGAGCAACTGCCAGATAAGTTGACGATCATCTCTGGCATTAGAAAGTCGCTTCTGCCCTCTACCTGGCTAGTTTTTGGCCATTCACTTTATTCTTGTGCACTGCAGTCTTAGAAATTTTGAGCTTGTAAGCAACCTGCTGCTCAGTGTAGCCATCTGCCAGCAGAACCAGGGGGGTATTCCATTAAAGTTAGCCACTAATGAACGACATGAGGCTATTTTCTGGACCTGAAATGTCCTCCTCTGTCAATACCAAACCTGAATGGCAGCCAGTTCCCCAGCAATGCTCAAACATCTAAAGGGAAGCTTTCCCAGAAAAGTACAGATTATTAGAGCAACAATGGACAACTGCATATTAATAGTTTTGGAATGAGATGTTGTCCACATATTTTGACCATGTAGCACACCTCTGCATGGAGTACATACACATCTATTAATACCAGAAAGTCCAGGTGTGGTTATTCAACACTGAGCACTGCTGTGCATAGGTATACCTAAA